GGCGGGACCCAAACCCAGCGCACGCGAAGTTTTACGCCTTCTCACTTTAGCTCGCTCCCAAACGGGTGTTTGGTTGCTACCCAGAGGATACGTGGATATAAATATCCGGACGTTGTGAGCTGCGATTTGAACCGTAGGGACAAGAATCGCTTCTGGCCACTCCTGGGTGAATGACAGTCAAATGTTTTCCACTTCTTCGCACGGAGCCATCCTCCGCCGCTATCCAATACTTCTGATAAAATTTGCTGTAGTTTTGTGTAAGCATTAGCAAAATTAAGGGCCCAACTTAACAACTAACAAGAGTTTAACTGTAAATTACTATTCACAACAAAAAAGTTCTCCCTACACCCCTGAGTCTAAAATATTTTTGCAAAGGCAATTTCGAAAGAAAATTTTTTTGCCGAACCTAGGGATTGCCTTTTTAAATTTTTCCGTCACACCTACATTCAGTAATGCAATTTTTTTTTTTTAAACTACCGGAATAATCAAAATGTTTCCATACGAAAAGATTAATGATGAGCTTTGATTTCCGGGCATTAGGGTGGTAATTTAGAGTGATAAGACTGAGATCTGTTGGGTAAGTACTTGAGGTAAATACACTTCGAAAAAAAAATGACTTATTCCCTAACGAATTAATGCCAAGGTATATGTGTCCCTCAAAGATTAAATGGCATTTAATTTATTTGTGAATTCGTATTTAAAATCAGGATTGCATTTATTCTTAATTAAATTGCTGAAATTGAATATTTAAATACAGTTTAAATATTTGATCTTAAAATGAATGAATTTTTGAAGTTAAGCAATAATCTCTACTTAAAATGCGCATCGAAATGGAGCCTAAGTACTCCAGATCGACTCGAGTTAACTCTCAAAATTTAAAGAAGTTACCTTCAATCCGTTCGTGGAGATTGAATTCCGCACGACGACAGAAAATATGAATTTAATAGTATACTTAATTCTCAACGATATTAAAATATGTATTATGCACCTACATGTAAAAATAAATGCATAAACCTATGCGCATGTCCGATGTTTAATAGTATAGGGAATTAATTATAAATTTACTTTTTGGAATTGGTTCAACCTATCGTTCTCTTTTTTTTTTGTTGGAACTATTGGAATCCGATCGATTAATCGACTGATATGTTCTAATCAAAACGCAATATATATATTTTGTTCAGACCAAAATGTAATAATTTGAAAAATGCACCAGCCTTAACTGAAAACTATTTGCATAATCAAAATAAAATCGTATGGACCTTTTATGAGTCTACAAAGCCATCAAAATAAGTACTAAATATATCATTTAGAAACAGGCATCTAAAGAAAAAATGTTGTCATCTCATACGTGGTATTGCATTTGGCGACGTTTTATACATATGTACATATTGTACATATAGCATTATTCAAGCGATCAATTATATAAAATAGAAATTAAAATAAAGAATTTATTAAGCGATTACTTACACTTCCAAAATATTTATCCAACAACTCCACATAACGGTGAATAATTTCAAGGGTTAACAGTTCATTATCGTTCTGCTCGATGGCACAACAAAAATATAAACTCGCATACCTTAAAAATTGAAATTTTTAATCAGAAATATGTGAGTAAGCTTTATATAGTAGTAGTACATTACATAATAAAAACCATGATAAAAATATAGGAAGGTAGAACCGTTGAGAGGAATTTTTCAAATTCTTGACGTTTGTAAGCAATTTAATTTTAAAATTTTACACACAAACTCACACACACCTTCTCATTTTCAATCTCAAACAACAACCATGGTACAATAAAAACAGGTAGAAGCCAAATTGACATTAAACCTACAAAAGTCAAAGTTTTCGGGAGAGTAAAAATAAAAATGAGCGTGTGTAAGGAAAAATAAAAAATTCCATTTCACTGGTTTGACGTTTTTAAGTAAATTTGAAGTTTAATTTTATTTATTTATTTTCTTTAGTTAAAATTTATTAATTTGTTTGTTGTTTTCTGTCTTTGATTTATGAGTTGCAGTGTTGTTGGAGGGACTTTCCGGCATAAGGGTCATAGGAACAGCACTTGGCATCAAACGTGC